TGGCTGGTGGTTTCAACTGCTGACCTTGTGGTTAGCAACACAATGTGAAACTGCTATGACCCATGGCTCCCTCATACAGAGGGAGAAAAACACTAAGCAAGCTATTTCATTGCAGAGCCATCCACGCAGATTAGGGACACCAGCAGGCGTGTGGGGGTGCTGGCTGAGGGGCTAACGAAGGAAGAAACAGGACAGCCTTGGAAAGAAGGAAATGGTCACAGATCTGCTACTACTCAGGTACATCCGATGACATCAGCTCTGCGACCTCCTGTTTGAAGAACACCCCACAGCTATATAGAGATTCTGAAGTGTCTTTGTAATATTTGAGTTTTCTTCACTGCAATCAATAGTCATACATGTGTAAAAGGGACAGAGGTTAAAATAAATCCTTCATTCCCTTTCCACACAGGCTCTTAGTGGATATACCTCACCCAAGAGGGGCTCCGCTAAAAGGTAGGAGGCACACTTCCAAATCTCATAAGCAAATATGAAGCGAAAAAGTCAATGTTACTAGTCTGGGGTAGAAGCTGTATTAGCATCCGGAGGGGAAGCTGAACGTCTTTCCAAAAAGGTCCTGGATCTGAGGGTGTGTTCAGCGGCACTTCTTTCAGTGAGGGAAGGCTGCTAGTGCGCCTTTTGGCTCTGGTAACTCCATGGCCACCAAGTGCAGAGAAAAGCTAGTCCTGACCACCTCACCTCCAGTAGACAGTGAAGTGCCGCAGTCTTCCTCTTCAGGCGATAAAAAATCTGCTGTATTAGCAAGTCACTTCTAACACTCGTGTCTGGTTTTGCTGATACGTTGTGAGTGTTTCCCCTTACACCTTGCGGTAGTGGGTGTCTGTTACACCTGGGTTGTGACGTATCTCTTCTTTTCAGGCTCACAGTCTGTGGCTGATACTGTTTTTAGATGCCATCGAGTGGCACCAACCCATAGGCGACCCTATGCACAACAGAACGAAACACCGCCCGGCCCTGCATCATTGTTATGATTATGCCCATGCTTGAGGCCACTGTTGCAGCAACAGTGCCCACCCGTCTCATTGGGGTCCTTCCTCTTTTTCTCCAGGGCCTGGTCTCTCCTGACAACATGCCCAAACTATGTAAGATGAGCCTCGCCATCCTTGCCTCTAAGGAGCACTCTGTCCTTCTTCTTCCAAGACAGATGGGTTTGTCCTTTGAGCAGTCCATTGGATTTTCAATATTCTTTTCCAGCAGCACAATTCAAGTGCAACTCAGTCTAGTCTTCTATTTTTAATTTCCAAAGCACCTCTCCAAAAATAGACCTCTCAGGGGTACAGAATGTTGGACTTGAGCAGGAAGCCACGCGCCCCAACTTGCCATCAACAAGCAAGGTCGCCTTGAAGAAGTCACTTAATTCTAGTGTCCCCTCCACAAATGAAAGTTTCAAGCTAAATTAACCCCAAGGGTTCCTTACTGCTTTGATTTTATGGATCAATGAAAGTTTATTTTAGAGGTGAAGAGAGAGAAGCCATCTGCAGAGAACTATCCACTCTTGGAGCACAGCACCATGACGTTTTTCTGTGAGGTTAAAAAATCCACTGCCATCAAGCTGGCTCTGACCCACAGTAGCCCTACTGGGCAGAAGAGAACGTCTCTAGAGTTTCTGAGACTGTGAATCTATAGAGATGCAGACTGACCTGACTTTTGGGTTTGTAATGCTGACATTTCAATAAGCAGCCCAAGCCTAACCCACGGGGCACTAGGGCTCTTCTTCACTTCCATCTCATTTGCAGTAGCAGTCTTCACCGACAATACTTTGGCAAAATGTATTTCTGGTTCTGTACATCAACAAATGGCCCTGAACCAACTTCTCAGGAAAGAGGAGGGTTCGTACTCCTCTCCAGAGTTACAGTCTCGGGAACCCAGAGGGGTCGTTCCAGCCTGTCCCATAGGGTCACCGCGAGGAGGAATCAACTCGGTGGAGATGCACACAACCTAGCCTGTGACTTTCCCTTCCCTCGTTCCCCTCCCACCTCTGGTAACCATCAAAGTCTGTTTCCTTTTGTGCGAAATCCTTTCCTTGTTTGGGTGGGGCTTTTGTTTATTTGTTTTACTTAAAGTGCTCTCATGAAACATTTGTCCTTGTGTGTTTGACGACTCTCACTCAGCACAGTACCCTCCAGGTCCATGCACATCATGAAATGTTTCACTGACTCATCATGACTGCTTAACATTGGACAGTAGTCCATTGTGTGGCTAGACTTCTTTTTCTTTTCAGAATTAAGTGATGTACCTGTAAAGATGGATAGAGACATTTCCAAGGACATCTAAAATGGCAGCTTTCATAAAACTTTCTGTTTAGAAAACTACAGAAGTAAGTAGAAAAGTGAAATATAAAATGTATCCTGAATGTTCGCATTAGTGATCAATCTACTGTCAAAGAATTTTTTTACAAATCTGATCATTTGTAATCTTCAAAACAACAGGGGTTCAAAGGCAGAGCCACTTACCTGTGTCTCTTTGGGCCCAATATCCATTCTTTTAAGGAGGTCATTTAAAAATGCGGTAACACTGTCCCAAGGGTAAATGCTGTTGGAGCCATCCAGCACGATGACAATGTCCAGCTGCGTACTGCATGCTGCAACACAAGGAGTCCATTGAGCCACTTTGAGTCTATGCTTTTAGAGGTGTGTGTAGTATTCCCATGGCTGCTAGAGACACATTTTAAGAGATGAACGGCTATAATGCAAAGGAGGGCGCTTATCTTTTATTAATCGTTTGAGAAAACCTGAAGAAGTGCTTAATAGGTTCAGACACACAAATCAATTAAAAACCATCTCTATTTAATTTTCACTAAAGTATGTTAAGTGGAGTTCTGATGGCACAGTGGGTTAGGAGTTGCACCGCAAACCCTCAGGTCAGCAGTTTAAAACCACCAGCTACTTCAAGGGAGAAAGATGATGCTTTCTACCTTCACAAAAAGTTACATTATCAAGGGTTCAGGAGGGAGGAGTGGGTAGAGGGAGGGCAAAAAATGAGGAGCTCATACCAAGGGCTCAAGTAGAAAGAAAATGTTTAGAAAATGATGACGACAACAAATGTACAAATGTGCTTGACACAATGGATGGATAGATGGATGGATTATGATCAGAGTTGTATGAGCCCCCAATAAAATGATTTATTTTTTTTAAAAAAAGTTAAAGTCCTGGAAAACCCCAGGGGCAGTCTAGTCTGTCCCATAGTGTCCCGGTGAGTGAGAATGGACATGGACGGTAGGGCAGTAAGTGTGGGTTTGGGGGAAGTATATAAATAACTCTATTATATAAAAGCTATCCTTGGAAACCTTCTCAGCACGTGTGTCATGTCCCACTGATAATTCTGTGTTTATTTCAACTGAGAGGACTTTCCACCAAGAGCCGCCTCCTCCAAACCAGAGCGCTGCGAGAGCTCTAGCTTTGATGTTTTTGACATGATTCTGAAAAGCCTCTTTACACTAATATCAGCAACCCACATAGCACCAAGGTTGGGTTATATATTGGCAAAGCACAAATTTACCTAATTTGGTCATGCTGGTAGCTGAGGAATTACTTTAAGCTTTATGGTATACTTCTGTGCAAAATACCCGTATGTCTCATTCATTGTTGACCACTTTTTCAAACATACAAAGACATGACATGAAATCGGTACCTTGTACAGGGGCAATTGAATTCAAGACTTGAAATGTGGGGCTGACATCAGAACAGATTCCAGTCGTGTAATGTAAATGTCCACATCTGTACGCATACAAGGGTCCGCATGCCTGTAAAAAATGACAAGAAGAACAACAATATTGGATTAGCAACCCAAGAACAGATTCTACAAAGACTGATAATGATAGAATTCCCGACATCATTGAATATTATTACTCATCCCTTCCTTACCAGAAACCCTCCATTTGGGTTGGTGACTAAAGTTGATCCAAATGTCATGTTCTCCTTTACTTCTGTGACATTGGGAATTGATGTGTTAACTAAAAATAGAACACATTTATGAGGATGGAAAACAAAGTGTCTTCTCATTAACACATTCTATTTGCTTTGCTCATACTTTGCACATTTTTCTTTTGGTTCCACCAAATAGCCTTCAAAGTATTATTAAGGAATATAATGATCGAGTTAAGGCCGAAAGGCTGGCTTATGTCCCAGAATCTGTGTTGGGATCACAGCCTCAAATAGTTTTGTTGAACTGTAAAAGAATGCAGAACTAGCAGAGCAATGAGGCTACGGGATTGCTTTTTCACACATTTTTGCTAATTAAAATAAATAGAACACTTGCTCTCACAAGTTTGTAACGATAATACCATCTTACAGGCTTCATTAGAAATGGCCAACAATTTCTGTGCAGGAGGAGCAGGGAGGGTAGCAGGATGCCAGAAATAAAAACTCAAGTGAAAGTGTTTTGACCTTTACTTTTAACATTGTGGGGACCTCGAGTGATGTCCTAATAACAGGTTACAAAGAAAACTGAAGCTAGGTTAGAACAGTGGCCAGCAAGTTTAGGTCAAAGAATATGTGAAGGCAACATATTTGACATCTCAAATAGGAATGGGAGGTTCTGAAACATGCTAACTGATGAAAATTGGCAAGAGGTTATTCATCATGTACTCCCATTCATCATGTTAAACAAAATTAGACCAAAATAGCAAAGGCTCCCAAACCCTGTATATCAACATGCTGAAGGAATAGAAAGTGGCACAATTCTGGTTCAAGACAGATTTATCTGTTTTTTATGTCAAGAATTTATTCTTACTATAATAATATATACTGATTGGAAGGAGAGATTCCTGGAGGGTCAGCTTGATTTCGTAATCTGAATGTTGGTCTTTGCTCAAGAATTTAGTCTGGTTTGACTAGAATGCATGTAGACTGGGGCTATTATCTAGGCTACTCTCAAATCATCTGGGTGCATCTCTTATATCCAGACTGACCCAGAGTCAGCACCACTGAGACTACTAGAAACTAAGTTCAAACTGGTCTTGATATAGCTAAAACCTTGAGCTAGTTTTCGTACTCCATTCTAGTTTCCAGTAAGGGAGAAGGAGCTTCCACCAGAACAACCCTCTTGCAAATAACACCCAGAAACTAGGGGAAAAGAACAGAAGAAGAAGGAAAAACTACCTGAGGACATTGGAAAGGAAGCCAAACCAGGCAGAAATGTGATGGCAGTCTAGACATGGAATAAGAGACCAGCTCTCCAAAATAAAATACAGTCACACTACCATTGCATTGATTCTGACTCACAGCAACATTATTGGACAGGGTCAATCTGCCTCTGAGGGTGTCTCACACTGGAATTGTTGATGGAAATAAAAAGCCTCATCTTTCTCCCAC